TGGATGCCGATTTGCGAGACTCGGAGGAATACGAGAACTGCTGTGACGAATTGAGGGCCGAGTACGTGAACTATTGCGTGTTGCAGAAGGTCGCGCAACGCGAAAATTACGCGAGTATAATTGCTCGTCATGTCCCAAAATGCTACGGATTGTATCAGGTCTCGGGTGAGCCGTCTCTGTTCTTTTTGATCACGGATTTCGTAGGGGAGCGTATCCCAGAATTCGCGTCGAGGAGCTTGAGGGAGGACAGAAAGTAGGTCAATCGTTCGTTCGGGATGTTCAGATAGCTTAACGATTTACAGGAAACAAATCATGCATGCTCTCATTGAGCTTCATAAAATCGGCGTTTTCCATGGCGACGCTCGTGCTGAAAATATGCTATTTGACAGCATGTCGCACAGCGTGAAGATGATTGACTTCGCCAGAAGTTATTGGCATGAGTGTGGCGGTTTGTCGGGTTGCGATGAGCTGACGGAGATTTGGAGGGTCTTGTTCCAAAGCAAGCCAATGAGACCCCTACGTCTGCGCACACAAAATGCCGAGGATAACGTCATAGGGGCGAGCAAGGAAGAAAAGGCAAGGTTCAGAAACCAACTGGGTTTGTGTTTATTGCCATTTTGTGGGAAGGAATTTGTAGATACTGTCATCATTTGAATGAGAAACTTGTATTCGTTGTGCGGTCTTGCTGTATGTCCTGTTGTATGTCCTGTTGTATCTTGTTGTAGCCGGCTTTTGTGAGAAATATCATAGTATTTATGGTTATTTCTATCTGCAAAAACAGGAAGGAAATAAAATTGCAATAGTATTCTTGAGCTGTAGACTACATAGGAGTATATCAGGACAGCTATTCAATGTAACCACAATGCTGGAAGAAGTTCCTGCAATGCTCAGTACTAATTGACACTACTTCCCCATACAATTGGTCATATACAGCTGTACCACTTTCATCAAGACCAATACCTTGAAGTTGCAATTTCAGGAGCAAGAATGTCAACTTGATAGGATTGAAGTCTGGTGAATACACAGGAAGAAAGACAAGCTCCATGCCTCTATGAATACATCCAGTTTTAGATTATGGTAATAAGGACCAAACAATGATCAGTACCTTGATTCAACTCTCTCACAAACCTCCTGTAACTTATGGATAGAACAGTTGTCCATAACCAACACAGATCCAGGCTCTACACAATTAGCAATCACTGTAATGAATTCAATAAACTTTTCCACATTGAAAGCACCCTTAATGATTACACAGTCAAGGATGCCATCCAAAGACAAGGCTGGAAGAATTGAATATCTGAAAACATATAATACAGGTATAATATAAGGAATAACAATTAGACTTACCTTTTTCCCCTAGCAAAAACTTGTTTCCAACTAGCTTAACAACCTTATAATGCTCAGGCTTTCTTCTGCAGATACACACATTGGTCACAAGTACTCTTGTTAATAAAATACATCCTTTTACCCTCCCTCCTTTTCTTCTCTATCAAGTCTCCTATAAACAGACTGAACTGAATGTATACACTTTCACAGTGCTCAGCTGTCCTCCTTAAAATCTATAAAGGAATTGTAAGTCTAGGGATGTCTACAACTGTACTATAATACATACATATTTTAGTATGAAACCTACTTGCCTGAGTGCTCTCTAAACTGTACTGTCTGACACATACTTTCTACAGGCCTTACTGTCAGTGACAGTATAGAGGGGACCTGAAGGCTCAGTAAGGGGACCCAGGCTACAACTATCCTACACAACAGAAATACAGAACACAAGCACTAGAATGTAGTCAAAACTTGCAGAACAGGCAGAGAGAGAGAGTGAGACAAGAGTAGAGTATATAGAGTGAGCCTAAGAGTACAGGATGTTACAATTCTCCACTCCTGTACCTTCAGTTCCAAGGGTTCTGCACCCTTCTGTACTAGAACTCAGGATTTCTGTCTCTTAGGGGTACCATCTATAGACTATATGTGTGCTGACTCTTGCTACTACCCTTCCTTACTTTATCATTCCATTCCTTTGACCACCCCTTCATTCTTTGTTCATTCTATAGTCTCTTACCCTTTGTCCATCCCTTCATTCTTTGTACCTTTATCTTTGACCCTCCCTTTCTTTCATTCTTTGTGGCTTATCATTCTTAGTAGCTCATACTCCCTGAGTGCTCTTGTGTAGTTTAGTATATATAGGTGTACAAGATCAGACTGGTCCTGTAGTCTTGATCTTGTCTACTCTAGGTAGTCCTGTACTCTTAGGCTCAATCTATATACTCTACTCTTGTCTCACTCTCTCTCTCTCTACCTGTTCTACAAGTTCTGACTATGTTCTAGTGCTTGCATCCTATATTTCTGTTGTGTAGGATAGTTGTAGCCTGGGTCCCCTTACTGAGCCTTCAGGTCCCCTCTACACTGTTACTGACATCAGATCAAGACTACCCATTACTACCCTACAACTCTCCTATGTTTTGAGCATTAGTACTCACTATTGTGTTGATCTCTTTTCTTTGTCCTGACCCTTCTACATTTTTAAATTTTAAACTCCCTAAACCCCTTTTAAATGTTTGCCACCCTTCTTCTATTCATTACCCCTTTTAGTTTAGTACTGATTCCTTTATAGTGTAGACATAGACACTCTTACACTAACTGCCACCCCTACTGTCCTACCAGATCAGTAGTTACAAGCAGACCTAGCTTAATATGTACAGACCTCTATTTAAGAGACCTTTACTAATCACATACCCTCAGCCCCTTCAGAACCTGTTCCAGTTGCTCTAAAAGTTGTAACTCATTCTAGAAAGAAAGTACACATAGTCTACCCTTCAGACTTTAATAGGTAGCACTTTAAGGACTTCTAGTACTAAGTTAAACTATACATAGTTACTACTTTGACTGATCTATCCTCAGATCTTGATTGTGTCCTATTTGTCCTCTCCTTCATGAAGGAAGGTAACACAGCCACTTGGGCTTAGAACTGGATCAAAGGCTATTGGATTGGAAGCCTGATCCAACTTTAGAACAATGAGTTGTACTCAGAATTCATAGAGCAGCTCTGTACTTCCTTTATCAATCTGAATAAGAAGTGTAATACACAGAACAAGCTTGCATCTCTGTGACAGAGCAAACATTCTGTTAATACCTTCTTTCAGGAGTTCAATATCCTAGCCCAGAAGGTAGGATTCATGCTTGGGTTCAATAATGTCCTTATTAGAATACTTGAAAAAGCTCTTCACCTAGAACTGGTTAATAAGATTCTTAGAATAATGCTAGAACTGGTCACTTACACTGAGTAGAAGATACACACTATCTCCTTCAACCAAGCTGTAGCTCAGATGTGTTAAGTCTGTATAGAATGCCTACACATGTGTTTAGCTCTGACAGTTCCAAGTCCTTAAATCAATCTGCCTATAATTTGTAATCAATCTGTTCTGATAGACATTAGAGAAGCCTAAAAGTAAGGAGCATACTTTACCTGTAGAAAGTTAGGGCACCAGATTAAGGACTGCCTACTAAAGTAATAGTATATCTGTCAGGTTATTAGAGTAATAATGAGTGACAAGCAGGATTTATAGTAAGAAGCCTTTTCTACAAATCTAGAAGTCACCTTAGAACTCTCAGACCCTAACTATATACTCTAGGATTTTGTAGAGGCCCAACAGTGAATATAATACTAAAGAGCTATAACTTGGATTTTTTAATAGCCACTTTTGATTCAATGGACACTGTAGGATTAG